GCAGATTGTAGCTGTTGGGAAAAAACTGGTAGTCACTCGTGGCAGCTAACCTGAGATGCTGTAATGGGATCAGTATCGGGAGGTTAAACATTGAATGACTTGCAACAGTCCTTTATTCCTGGCCTGAAGTTCTGCTCTCCTGTTTTTTGCATTGGGTGAAATGGGTTGATAGTCCAATGCTCACAGTTTGCCACTGTAGTGCACACCATTGCAGAAACAAGTCATAAACTCTTCAAATAAATCAGTCTCAGTCTCTCTGCTTCCTATTAAGATAGTGACACATCCTTCCTGCAGTCTCTTTGAAGGCCTGATGAGAGACAGATCTGCAAACTAATGCCAAACAACACTTTCTGTCATGCATCCCCTTTGCAATTTACACACCACAGGAATGTCTCATACTGGAACGGACGACACTTCCCTCTGCTTTGAGATTACCAGCTCTAAGTCATTTAGTTGTTTACCAGATATTTTGTTTCAGTTCATGATAATTAGGCTAATTCCTTGTTCATGCTGGAAAAATAAGTGTGTAAAAGTCCCCTCACTTGTTGACTTTAATGCAATTTTACCAACAAAAAAAACAAAACAGGTTCCAAGTGTGTAATGTGGGGAATTGTTACCTGATGGGGAGCTAATTGCTGCCTTTGTATTCTGCTCACTAAATAAGAGCAGAGAGAGACATGTGGTCCACTTTTGCCTAGTAAATAGGCAATAATGCTCTGGCTCGTCATTTATTTGAATTATATTTGAAATGTTCACTCAGCATATTGTTTTCATACAGAATTATATACAGGAAAGAGTGTGAAATCTGTATCACTCTTTGATGCCATGCTCGTCTGTCCTTAAATCAAAAAGCAATTTAAATCAAATGCCAAATATCACTAAAGACAGACACTAGCCGAGAAGAAGCAGGATTTATCAGTGACTCAGGGGAAGTTCATTCAGACTGTGTTCAGCCACTCGTAACAGCCTTCCTGCCTTCAAGGACAGAGTCTCTTTATCAGGATGTTTCACCCTATTACACTCCTGATATATGCATACCACAGGAACAACACATCTCTTTTTGTCTACTCTATTTTCACATCTTCTGCAGGGGTCATGAGCAGCATCAATCTCTCAGTCGGTGCGATAAAGTCGACTTTATCTGCTGTAAAAGTAGTAAAAACACTGAAAGCTAAACTTGTCACTCAGTTGGCAGTTTAAAAGTAAACGAAGGGATAATAAAGCTATTTTCAAAGAGTGGTGCAGTGATTACGTATGTTGTAGGCTGACGCAAAAGTTAGCATCGCAAGGCCTCCCTCGACAAAAGGATTTTTGTATATTGCAGAAAACTAGCTTTGTGGCCAACACACGTTTATGATGGTGAACCAATTGTTCAGCAGGATAATCTCCACATATTAACAGCACTTTGTCATTTTCAAAATGCAATGCAGAAGCGTTGGACATACACGAGCGGGGATATTTCTGATGTATTTCATGTCGTAGAACAAAAAGTGAAAAACACCAAAAAGACATTAAAAAAAACACTGACTTTGAGACAAGGGAACCAGAAGTGGTAAAATGTCATTTCCGAGTTTTAGGACTCATTCCTGCGCCACTCTTTCTATCTGTTAATATGCAACCAATGGTATCTGGAAGGTAAGTATTTAACAAACTGTAAGGGAACAATGTTTACGACACATGTTGTATTCTACACATGATCATTGAATGGTTTACTCTTTCTCTCTATGAATAGATGCAGAGCATAAAGCAGAGGCAACAGGTTGGAGAGATGCATGTCACCAACAGGAAAGCTCAGGGAAATAAAGATAACAACATAACACGCCCTGCATTTCATTAGGAAGACCCTAATATTATTCTGCCTTAAAGAACAAGATATGAAAAAACCTGACATTCCAGAAGGGTATGGGTGTAATACACTTATTCACCTCTTTTATTTATATAGTTGCTTTCAGATAATGTCATGGACAGAGCTGTCATTTCATTGGCTAAGCATTTAAAAACAAAGTTGAATTGTATAATGTATAGGTATAGCAGCTTGGACAGTTACAGAAGACCTTGATAAGTGTTGCTGTCATTTTAAGTAACAGACTATTTTTCTTATGGGAAACAATACGATCATTTTTAAATCAATAAATTCATTTAAAATCAGTTTTGTGTGTCGTGTCATTAGTTTATTTAATATGTAGCCGTGTCATAAGCGCTATAATGTGCGGCTAGGTGGTCATAAATTAAAAAAGAACACTGACAGAGTCATCAGGTACCTTTCAATATGTTGCAATACGATGTGAGTTTGTTCAGGAAAAACCAAATGATCAAGGGGGTGCCTCAAAGATTTAGTTCTGCACTTCGATATAGTGTGTGAGCTCAACAAAGTAAGGGCAAAATGAGTGTGGCTAAAGAATGATGCAACCTGTAGTTTCATTAGATCGTCCTGTGTGGTTGTGTATTTCCGACTCCATACTCCTGTTTGCTGAGATAAGTTCCAAACAGACGTTAAAAGTTAAGATCTACCGACTCAGTGTTTCTCCTGCAGGAATTTCCCATCACTGAGTGGTAGCAGGGATATACACACGATGGCTCACAGCAAACTAGAGTTAAATAAACCACTGTGAGACGTGGGACAGCCCCTTCCATATGCAACCCCCCCCTCCTCATTCCACTACCCAGTATTTCTGAAAGGCTTTCAGGGCCAGTGCCCCACACTGCTGCCTCTGAGGATTTCCTGGCACCCAACCAAGTAAGATACTGTGTGTGATATTCAGTTTCACACAACTCACGCTCACAAGTCAAGTTAAAGAGACTAAATAAATAGAGCCTATCAGCTGAGGGTTCAGCATCTGTCTCCAGATGTGAGGACCTGGTCAGTGTCACCGCCTCACATGAATGGAAATCAGTTCTGGCCTCCTTCCTCCCTGCGTGTTGATTCTGTAATATTTATACCCTGCAAATGCTTTCCTGACTGCCCTTGGCACCGGGCCAGATCTATTCATATTTAAGGTATTTACACAAGAGGCAGGGCCAAGGATAACATCTGATGCAAAATACACCTCAGGGCATACAAAATGTCGAGCTAATTTATTTTTGCTTCACTTCATGCGCTCGTATTTCCGATGTGAATGGGGAAACAATACCCGGGTCAATGGCTCTGCAGTTTCATTTAATATGATTATTATGTGTCCACAGCCAAGCCTTTCTCTCTGATGTGTCTTTGATCTGAGGAGAAATTCATCTTCTCGAAACAGGAGGCCAAAGGTCAGGGTCAGCCACAGAGCGGCACCACTGTAGTGAAGAGTTATTGCTCAACCATGGCTTCCGCTGCAAACTACAAGTTGTTTTAAATTCATAAATAAAACAACACACCCCGTACACAAACACACACACACACACAAACACACACACACACACACATTTGTTAGAACACATTTTAGGCTGGACATCATTGTGCCAAACAGAGTGGCAGTGGAATAGTGAACTTGTAATGCTGACACTGATGTTTATACTAAAAAGGGTGAAATCATATTTACAGACAAAGCCTAGTAACATCAAAGGTCAACAGCATGTTGCATGTGCTGAAAATGCATTCCAGGAAAGCTAAATGTAAACAAGTTGATGAATTTCAACATGCACACAGTTAAAGGTAACTTAACTAAATCAAAGTTTGACACAGAACAAGCAGAAGTGGGTCCTACACACAACAAACCAGGCTCACCTTGCAAACTTGTTGAGAATCATTTACATTAAGAACATTGGACGCAGAAAGAAGTAGCTTCTCGTCTGCCATGTTATTTAAAATGAATAAAAGGCATCTTGAGCCACATAGATAACACAATATAGGTTTAGTCTATATCGGCTCTAGACATCTCTACAAAATACACTGTAACTTGCCTATTTCTCATGAACAAATGCCTATTTCTCATGAACAAATGGAACTTGGTAATATGCAGACCCTTGTGACATGCAGCAGTGGCTAAGTGTAAAAGCGCATCCTGCCTCGCCCCATCTCTTCTGTTGAGTATAAGGGCTGTTGGAATCTATAGGTATTGCATTACTGCCATCTGCACAGACCCTGTACCTTTATTGTGATTGACAGGTCCTCGGGCCAGCTCTTCATTGTCCTCCCTTGTTGCTGACTGTAGGCTATTATGGATGTAAAGAGAACTGGATACAGTGTCGGAGACGGGACACAGTTCATTCCTATGAAAGTTGCTAATTGGCGTATGAAGCCAAAAATGGCCTGACCCTAAAGAGCAAATGTACCCGTAACTGCGCCCATAGAGCATTAACACTTGCTTTTCGCTAAGCCCTTTCTCCAATCCACAGCGTTGCAGTTGGTCTTGGCTCAGTCTAATAAATGGAAAGGGAATATAACTCTTTATTAACCATTTAGCGCAATAAACAATCTTTAGGACCTAATGATTAAAATAAGGCTTATACAAGTGTTTGTACTAGGTAGATGATTTAGTTAAAAAAAAATACTGCAGTTGGTTTTCACTGCAGACATTTAGTGACATTAAGTCTGTGTCATTCGGATCACGGAGAGCCTTTAAACTATATGCCAGAGGAGGACAAATGAAGATGAAGACTAAAAGGTTAACAAAAACAATGTTGCCCCTGCCCAACAGATCATCCAGCCATGGACATTGTGTCAACACTGCCAACTGTAAAGTCTACAGATGTTATGCTTAACTGGTAAAACACAAAACCAGGTTTATGTGATGTTGTTCTGGCCTGCAGTTCTCAGAGTTAGAGGCGAAGATGTTGTTGATGTCTAAATAACCGCTCCCCCCACCCCCATTACATCTGGCTGTTTTCCCTGCACTCCTCCAGCCAAGCACGAAGGGACGAGTCTTCCAAAACAATGACAAACACACGTGACCACGTCCAAACGCTGAGCCTATTGCGGACCTGAGTCCTTTAAACTTCACACTTCACTACCATCAGTGGGTGTGTGTCATTAATTAAGGTTATGCACACTTGGACAAACACACACACGTACTTACTCTCTGACGGGTATACTGGCTGCATGTCGATCTTGTGCACCTCCTTGGCGTAGTACTCCTCCTCACTGCGCTGGCGCTCGCACGTCGCCGCGCGCTCGTTTGCCTTCTCCTGCAGAAGGTCGCGCGTGCTGTTGTAAATGGCGAGGATGTCCCGGGACACCTCCTCGGGCTCGGGGAAGTCCTCCGGCGGACTGCTGAGCTTCAGCTTGCTCAGGATCTGCCCTCGGATGGCCTCGATGCGCTTCTTCTTGAACTGATCCATGTCCAGCGTGCTGCACGTGGACAGGCTGAGCGCCACGGCGGCTAGATCCAGAGTGAGGAGAAGACTGACCACACACAGGTTCATTTTCTCCTCTTCAAATCTCAAATAGTAAAACAGAAAAAAGTTCACCAAAGTGATTTAAATATCTCCAGGCAGACGCATTTCTCGTTCGAAAGTCTAAGTAAAGCGCCTTTATGTCTCCAAAAATCGTATTTTTCTAATTCCACAGTTTCTGTAAAGTGTACTTGAAAATCCATTCAACTGTCCCCGCAGACAAACAGAGCTGATATTCAGTCAGAAAGGATCGCGAGGATCTATTCCTGGATGGCGGTGATCTCACAGCCGGAGTGCGTAAAGGTGCAGCTGGATGGTGCCGTGGGGGGACGTGCGGCCACCCGAAGCATCTGAGACATATGGAGGAGAAGAGGGGAGTTAGAGACAGCTGAGGGTCTGGTCAGCGGGACGCACAGCCTGCGGGTCTGCGCACACCTCCACCGCATCCGCGCGCTCCACCCGCACCTCAGCCAGGTTCCTATCCGTAAGATTGAGAGAGTGGATGTGCGACACGATGCTTTTTATCCTCTAGGCATATTCTAAAGTGGTCTTCAAAAAAAACACCCGAACCCAGACGCAGTCCTGGTGTCCTAGTTGTGAACTTTAATACAAGTAGGCCTATTTAAATCAATAATCCATAAAGAAATGAGATTTCAGTGTGAAAAAGTCTTCCAGCTCGGAGTTTGCTTCGGGGCGACTGCATAGCGTTTTTACGGGTCACCCTCAACCCATCTAGTCTGGGAACCGCTCGTCTTTGCGCGTGCCAAGTTGGAGAGTTATAAAGGACTGAAGTTCGCACGTGCTTCTCCTCCGCGCGCTTCACTCCGAGGCTGTGGTCATCAGTGTGGGAGCAGGGAACCCCTTCAATCTACGTTACAGAGTTTTTATTGTAAATAGGAGCGCTCGCTGTGCCCATTGGGACAGCGCTGCAGCGGCTAACGGACCACTGCCCCCCCCCCCCCCCCCCACCCTCGCGGGGTGACGCAGGGTCTTAGAGCCCGTCAGTGCAAGGCATCTAAACTGTTTACTAAGAACATCAGAAACATTTCTCCGTTGTTCTACTCTTTAAAACAGGGGTGGGGAACCTTTTTCCTCTCAAGGGCCATTTCAATGTGTTCAACATCCTCCGAGGGCCGTACAAATGATTGACCTCTGCTTAAAAATACTAAAATCACAGCCCATTCATTTCATTTGGCCTTTCTTTCATGCTGTGCAAAGAAAAAGCAACCTCTTAGTCCAGATATCTTACCATGACTCGCGCATGCATGCACGTGCACGGTTGTGGCATGACCACCAAAACGGAAAGATATGGACACAAGATGTGTGCAAATGTATTTAGTTTCCCATGATTTAAGTGGGGGGGGGGGGGACCTAACCTCCTCTAGGGGGGTCCGGGGGCATGTTCCCCGGGGAAGATTTGTTTTTAATATGTTGAAGTTAAAAGCATCAATCTGGTGCACTTTGAGAGCAACATTAGGAGCTCTATGGATACATACATCTCAACACCCATATGAAACAGAACAGTAAGCAGATTTTATTTTTCTTTATGGATATTTTACAAATCACTCCCCTGTATTCTTGTTTTATACCTGTTTACTTTATTCTCTTGTTTTTTATAACTATAACGATCATATAAAGATGTGCCTTTATTTACTGGTTGTAGAAACTTCTTATATTCGTTAGCATAGCTAGCTAACCAGATGCTAATAACAACAAGTTATTGACTGTATGATCAGTGTGACAGATGAGCAGATCGCCACTGGGCTTTCAACTAAAGACACAGCCACGCAAAAACTGCGGCATGTGTACGGCTCCTTATGGGTAGGCTACTGTAATTTGTGAAGTGCCGGAGCGGAGCGGCGTTCCGGTGCTCTCCGGCAGAACTGCACCCCTGTCAGACGAGACATACCACGTGATGACACGTTGGGCTCGTGTTGTGTTCAAGGACCCTGACCGTGGCCAGGAAAAACAGGCACTCGCTTGTTTAATTATTTTGCGGTCTAGATTTCTTTAATTTTTTCTTTTTTGCGTGTGTTTATAAATTACCTCGAGGTCCGTAAAAGCATGTAATTTACTCAATCATTTTTCTGGGTTATTTTATTCGAGGTTGTTTTTATTTATGAATGAAAAAAAAGAGTTGTATTTTTTATTATTTATTACCAGAAGTATTTACAAAATAAAAAGTATATAACAAACATAAGTAATACTTATTTTATTAATATTACAAACACAAATAAATAAAAACATAAAGAATAAGACAAAAAGGTGAAAAAAAATTATCATTATCATTTCAAGTGGTTGTATTGTTGTCGGGCCTAGCTGGAATAAATCAAATAAAAGATCAAATAAATAAAATCACCTTAAAATAAACAAATCTATATATTTGATGTGCCTACTTGTATCCTATTTGGGCCGCCTGCATACATTCTCTGGTTGGATTTAATCAAGAAAAAAATGATACACATATTAGTTCGATTTTTATGGTGCACTTTCAGTATAATGTTACTAGAAGTGTAATTGTATTGCAATCATGACAAACGTAACATACAGACATAAAACATCATATTAATGCAGAGAAGTCTGAAACACAGTATCTGCTGGGCGGTCCGAGGGAAGAGGAAGATGGGCTTTCATTTTCATGGTGATCTGAACTGTTTTCTCTATAGCATTTGTTTCAGCAGTAGTCAGACAACTGAGAAAACTGTGATTGAGACAATAAATGTAATATTTAAAACGTGTAACTAGATTATGGCTCCTTTTAGCGGTTTCCCCCAAAAAATATCTGTTGAGCTGAATAAGTTCCAAACAATGTTCCTCAATTTAGTTCCTAAGAAATGGAACTCATTTATATTCACCCTATATCTTTCCATGTGGTGCTCTGATCATCTCTTCAGTTCCCAGACGTTCAGCTGAAAGGAGCCACAACTCATGCTCTTAATGACTGCCCACAATGTAATAAGAAAACCATGAGCGCATATTGAATATCAGTTTAAGTTATGACATTATGACAAACAGTCTGTGGCTCAGGGTCTCCTCCTGTCCCCTGATGTCAGATAGCACCACCTCCACCATGTCTCCTCCACCCTCCTGCTCCGGCCGCTCCCACACACTCTGGGCCAGCTTGATTTATGTCCACATCTGTCAGAAATGGTTTAATTATTTGCCAAAACCTGGTGCCAGCCCTCCATGCTCCGCTCCACCAGAGCAACATTACATTACATGTTAGACGCTTTTATCCAAATCGACTTACATACTCAATACTGTGGGCAATCCTCACAGGAGCAATTTGGGGTGAAGTGTCTCAGGGACACAACGACATGCTGACTGCAGTGGGGTTTGAACCTGTTAGAACCTGAACCCTGATCCCAACACCAACATCAACGGGAAAAAGCACGTTTAAAATTGAGCTGACAAGGGCAGTTGATAAACTTGAACCAGGGCCTGATTAACCCAAATATTTGTGTCAAACTTGGCAGGTGAATAAACTGGAATATTTAAGGAAATATTCATTTGCATTGTCTTTTTAAGGACCCGAAACGCCTCCATTGGACTCCCTGGTTTACTTCCGTAACATCACTAAGTAACTTTATCGCTTCTATTGGCAAGCACTCCAACACATTGTATGTGAAATGAAAGGGGGGGGACCTTTCCAACACATCGCTAAGCCGTTGACCAATCACAACAAACCTCTGGTTTCAGACAGAGGCCGTTTCTCAATGTGGAGTATACCTGCTGCAGAGCCACTATTTCAAGTATACTACGTCATCGAGTGGCGCCGAATGCTGGGCATTTCAACAGTCCTTCGGCGCCACTCGATGACGTAGCATACTTGAAATAGCAGTTTTACTCGACATTGAGAAGCGGCCAGAGGGTGAAAAGAGGTGCTGCAGCACAGGCAGTGAGAAAATAGAGCTTTTTGAACATTAAAGCATGGAGACATGTCCCAGGAGAGACACTACATACAAATATGAACCTTAAAAATGAGAACATGTCCTCTTTAAGTCAGAAGTCAGAGATTGAAGTTAAACAGTAAAAATGCGGGGACACACTGCCCTTTTTCTGTATTTAAATCTGTAACTGTTTGTTTGCGTCATCTTGTGAAAATGACTGAAAAAGGCAAAAAAAAGCCCCAAAAATAATCTTTATAAAAATACTGTTACTATGACCACCAGACACATGTCCAGTCGACAGAAGACCACAGAGCACTGATACACATGAACTAGCTGTTTATTTAACCAGCACTCTACAACACACTCATATTTACAGAACACAGGTCATTCATAAAAAAACATTATGTAGATGATGATGGAAATGGAAGCAAACTGATGGAGGGCAGGAGCTCCACATGGCAAGGAGCTTCCCTCAGTTCCCTGTCACATCCTGTTCCCATGTATCAGTGATTGTCCCTCAGAGTTGTACTGTCACTCATCATTCCCCTCTCTGCACAACATATTGAGCAACAAACATCATAGTGTGAGAGGCCATACAAATATTTGCGTGTTTATACAGTCAGTATAAACACATTCCAGGTTTTTTCTCTGCGCAGTCCACACACACTGACAGGAGGGGTCAGGGTCTCTGATCCACACACATGTCCCTGAAGGCATCACAGCCTGCAGTCCTTTCAGTCTGAGTCACTGTCCTCCCCCCCTGCTCCTTGGTTTGTATCGGCCTCCTCTCCATCACTGTCTTTGTCCCAGTCTTTCATGGTGGCTCCCATCATGAAGTCGTCTGTGAGGACGCTCCAGGCGGGCTTCTCCTCTGCAGCCTGCACACACACACACACACACACACACACACGCAAACATGGTTAATTATGTGCTTCTAGCTGTGCCTTGTCCCACCGATGCCTTCATGAGGCAACAGCAACACCTTGAGTGCACTCAGTGGGGAAGTCAGTTTGTGAATCAGGGTTTAGAATGTTTAAATGTTTTTTAAATGAAATGATGATTCATTTACTTTTGCAAACAATAAAGCAATCCGGCCCCGGCAGATATTTACTGCAGGATATGTGTTGGACACTGACTGTATATGGTTGGACACTGACACATAGAACTTGTTAGGGATGCTCCGATCAGGGTTTTTGGGACCGATCACCGGAATCAGAATCGGTCGTTACCGATCCGATCATAGGGTGGGTGGGGGCTATGGGGATCTTCCATTTAAAGGGCTGTATTGTGAATTGAGTAGCAGAGTTTCTGTTAGCCGGTAATTATCGGACTATGACCGGTAATATATGCTGATGTTTAAAACTCAGTTAATGGGGATCATTTTTATATTGCTTCAGTTTATATATACGGATCAAAAAGTTCAGATTCATTTTTCAATAAATGATGCGCTTCCAAAAACAACATAATTATTACATTCAAATTCACTTTGGATAATAACACGGGAGAAATGAGCGGAAGCGCTCTCTTTTCCTCTCTCCCTCTCCTGACAGCCTGTCAGTATCTCATGCAGCTCACTGATCCAGTAATGAGTGACCCGACAGTGAAGAATAAATATATGTATAACTAGTTGAGCTTGTTCCAGAGGTAGATAAACTAGCTAAGTGTGTTAGGTCTAACTCTTAGTGTGTGTTTCGCTCACCGGTCCGTCACAGCGGGCGGAGCTGCAGGATTTCTGCTTCACACACGTTGCATACCGCTATTTTACTGTCATTTTCGGACACCTTAAAATAATGCCAGACCGGTGAAGCCATTTTGGCGAGCTTGTTTTGCCGCACACAGAGAAAAGTGTCATGTATTTTACGTCATGCTCTCGCGATCGGCATGTTTAGAGAGCACCGATCGATCTATTAAGAGTGAATATCGGCCAATAACGATCGGAGCATCCCTAAAACTTGTGAAGGCCAAAACAAGGCATAGATTTTTATATGAAATCATTATAT